TGTCCCCATGTCGCCGTGTCCCCGTGTCGCTGTGTCCCGACTGTCCCCATGTCCCCGTCACCTGCACGATGGCCTTGGCGCCCATCACCTCCAGCACCTGCCCGCTGCGGGTGGTGCCGTTGGGCAGCGTGAAGTTCACGATCTCGGCGTACTGGGCGAACTGTGGGGACAGGGACACGGCCAAAGGGGCTGGCGGTGTCCCCTCTGTCCCCCCAGCCCGCCACTGTCCCCACAGCCCCGCCTGCTCCGCTGGCGCTGCCTCAGTTTCCCCTCCTTTGGTCCTGGAGCCGCCAAACGCTGAGGGAAGGGGGGGACACGGGGCAGCAAAGGGGTGGCGGGGGGATGTCCCTGTCGCTGTCCCCTCCTGGAGCTGGCCGCGGGCCGTGGCGCTGCTGCGTGACTCAGTTTCCCCGATATTGCGGATTTTTCCCCGATATTGAAGAATTTTCCCCCATATTGGGAACGCTCCAAGTAAAGTGAGAACGAATGCTGTCCCCACCAGGGACATCCAGAGCCACCAGGCTGTCACCGCCACCTCGCAGGGGCCACAGGCACGAGTGACACCCATGGGGACACCCCGGGGGGATGGAGGGGACTTCAGTGCCACCCCTCGGCTGAGGGGACACATCCTGCTCTGGGGACAATGGCCGATGTCACTCAGGGCCCTCCTCCTCATTCCCGCCCCGTGAACTTCGGACTTTAATTCTTCGGGGAAAACCTTTGGGATCAAGCGCGGCAAAGCCGAGGCAGCGCCCGCCGCGGGCCGGGTCTTAATTAATTGAGCTGATTAATTGAGCTAATTAATTCCCGTCCTGCCGGCGTGCGCGACCGCGACACCGCGCGACAAAGCGCCACCCGGGAGAGCAGGGACAGGGACACGCCGGGGTGAGGGGACACGGGTGGGGTTTGAGGAGTGGCAGGGTCCGAGCAGGGTCCCCGGGGGAGATGGAGTTTGGGCGGGGGACAGGCGACAAGGGACAGGAGCGGGAGTTTGGGCGGGGGACAGGCGACAAGGGACAGGAGCGGGAGTTTGGGCGGGGGACAGGCGACAAGGGACAGGAACCGAAGCTTGGGCAAGGGACAGGGGACAGAGCTGGGAAAGAGGACAGAGGACAGGGGATAAAGGATGGGGGGACAAGGGACAAGGGACAGGGGACAAGGGACAGGTGCCAGAACTTTCCAGCGGCACAGGGGACAAGGGGACGGAGCTGGGAAAAGGGACAGGGGACAAGGGGACAGGGGACAAGGGACAGGGGCTGGATATTGGTCAGAGACACACGGGACAGGGCACGAGGACACAGGGGACAGTGACTGAGCTCGGGCAGGGACACGGGGGACAGGGAGCCCGGAGCGAGCGCACACACGTCCCCTGGAATGTCCCCCGTGTCCCCGTGTTGTCGCACAGGCCACCCGCACGGGGATGTGGGGACACGGGACATGGGGACACGCCACCCACATGGGGACGTGGAGGGCGGGGACAGGGCTCTGCTGCCGAGCGCGTCCAGAGGAGGGAGCTCGGACCCCGGAGAGGAGGGGACAGCCCTGGGGACAGCCCAGGGGACAACTCAGGGGTGGGGGGGGACAGGGGAGCGAGGGACAGTGGACAGCCCTGGAGGCAGAGGACAAGTGATGGGGAGAAGGGACAGGGGACAGGCGAGAGGGGACAATGGACAGGTGACAGAGGACACCCTCAGCACTGGGCTCCCCACACAGCCCCAGGTGACATCGCCGAGGTGTCCCCTTGTCACCCGGCCACCTCCTACCTTGACGTTGTCCAGCACCACCAGGGGCCCGTTGACACCGCACACGGTCCTGTAGGCTGCGGGAAGGGGACACGCTCAGAGCCACCCCAAATCCTGTCCCAGTGACAGCCCAAGTGACCGGCGGTGGCCAAACCGGACCCCCGGAGCCACCACCACCACCCTGCAGGAAATGTCACTCGGTGGTGGCTTCCTGCCACCCTGGGGATGTCACCAGGGCCACCAGGAAAGTGTCCCCTTGTCCCTCCAGCAGCACCAGGAAAAGGTCCCTGGAAATTTCCACTCATCCCAGATGGATCCAGCCCCAATGTCCAGCCTGGCCTCGGACATTCCCAGGGATCCGGGGGAATTTGGGAATTCCAGCCCAGCCCCTCGCCACCCTCCCAGGCAGGAATTCCTTGCCAAATCCCACAGAAATCCCCGTTTTTCGTTTAAAACCATCGCCCCAGGACCCTGCCTGGCCCGGTGGGGTGCGGGGGACACTTCCCAAACACCCCGAGGTGCTGGCGGGTCCCTCGGGACACCGGGGACACGCAGGGGGTGACATTCGGGCGAGGAAAGGAGGACATGACCCCCCCAGGGACACCGGTGGGACAGGGAGTGACAAAGGGTGACAAAAGGGGATGGAGCGGTGCGGGAGAGGGTTAGGGTTAGGGACTGGGATCGGATCGGCTCCCGGGAGTGCCGGGATTGGGATCGGTTCCCGGGAACGTCGGGACTGGGATCGGGATTGGGAACGCCGGGATTGGGATTGGGATCGGCTCCTGGGGCCAGGAGTGGCGAAATTGAGATCAATTCCCGGGAATGCCGGGATTGGGATCGGTTCCCGGGAACGGCGGGACTGGGATCAGCTCCTGGGAACCTCGGGAAAAACGGGACCGGGATCAGCTCCCGGGAGTGCCGGGATGTCACAGCTGGGAATTGGGATCGGCTCCCGGCCGGTGCAGGTGTGGGGGAACTGATCCGGCTCTAAGCCGTGCCTTGATCATTGCAGGATGTGTCAAACCCCAAACGCTGCCCCGGCCCCGCTGACCCCGCCGGGCCCTTTCATCCCCCGCCCGCTCCCCTCACACGGGGCTCTGGGATTCCCACCTGATCCTAATAGGATCGGAGAGGCCGGGCCAGCTGGAGAGGTCCCCGCCTGCCCCCGCCGCCGGCCTGGATGTCCCCGTGGTGATGGTGGCATTGTCCCCCGGCTGGGTCAGCTCCGGGGACTTCATTTCTGGGGACGGGTCCCGTTTCTCCTCGCTGGACACGGCCCGATGTCCGGACACCCCACAGGGCAGTGTGGGGTCACCCCCCTGGCACAGCGTCCCCTTCCCTCACCCAGGGCACAGCACAGGGCACAGTGA